GCTTTCCTGGCTGTGATAAGTCAGTGTTTTTAATGCAAACGCGTAGGCTTACGAGAAGCAAACATCTGCAGAGAAGCAAGCTGCGGGTATAAGTGAGATCGGGGAAGTTCCTTTTTTATTTACTCTGTAGATTTGTAGTTGTGTAAGTATCTGTTAATATACACGATACACTAGATATTTCAGATCACACATTTCAGTCGACATACAGTGAAGACGACCTAACATAATATTACGTGGCATGCGCCAACTTTTACTTTTCTCGTTTCTCTTTTAGAAGTATCGAAAGCATTAAAACGTTGGTCTTCAGTCTGACACAGGAAATGAAAAAGCATGTGATAATAGTGACACTAAGAGCCACTCAGATCGGAGAGAGCCGGCCTCTTGAAAGTGGCTTGTTCGAGGTCGAGGCTTATGGCGGAGACGTGTCATCCGTGACCGAGAGAAAGAAATATTCTAATAGGTTAGATTGCTGAGTTAGTTTTATCGGGATCAGAATATCATCAATCACCACCATAGCAAGTCGATGTGGGTTATTATCTAGTAGCTGAAGGAGGTGGAACTCGCTGACGGATGTGCCCGAGGACATCATATGCAAGTCCTATGTGTTGATAAGACGGCCATCCATATGTGACAAGAACTAATAGAACCGTGTGAACTGTATTTCATGGACCTAGGAATTGTGAACAACGAGAACCATTTCAGACCATCCCGCTTTTGTCCGTTGGACCTGATATTCAATTCCACTGCCAATACAGAATTGCTGTGGTCAAATCCCAGAAGATGATCGTAGATAGTCTACGTATCCCAAAAAGCATCTGCTCCTCCTACGAATACGAACGGCTGCATTTCCAATTTCTATTTTAGATTATTTCTCAGGACTTTTACTTTCATTTTCATCACTTTCACTTTCATTCGTATCATTTTAACATTCATTTTCACCACTTTCACTTTCACTTTCACTTTCACCACTTTTACTTTTAACTTTAAAATCTTATAATTGACAGTCTCGCTTCCATTTATATAATAGTCACTGTATTGCATATCTCTAGCACTAGAATTGTACGCGATCATTTCATCCTCAGCATTTCGGGGGGTTAGAGTAGCGATTACCAACGCGAAAGGTGGGATTGATAACCATGTTCAAATTCCTGTTGAAGCTGTTGCTTTCGCTTTCGGCAAATGTCGTTGGAAAGGTAAAAATCCACCACTTCTTTTCCTAGGTAGAACTTAAAAACAGGGTCGAAAAAAATCTCTCTCTGGGCAACCAGTCTAGAATAAGGACACTTCTGAAGTCAAAGCCGATTGAACGTGAGGCAAGCAACCCGTAAAACTTGCTAATTGCTACAGAAACCACAGCAATACACTAAGATGGTGAGTTTGTGGTCCTATACCCAACAGGGGAGTCTACATGACCAGCTCCTAGATTAGGGTCGCCCAGCTCCCCTGCTTTTAATCCTATGGAGTCCCCAAGATGGCGACCAGCATGTGGATCCCACAATACAAGGCATTGACTAAAGGGCACCATTTTAGATGTCATAAGCAACACGAAAGAGAATCACATTTAAACCGGGCATGGAGTCTAGTAGAATGACGAGTCTGGATTCTAAAGCATAGAGAAAGCGACGGGAAATGAGTCCACGATATTTCTTAAGTAATGGCAACTTACAGATGACAGAAAATAATCTGTGGAGAGTTATGATCTGTTGACATGGCATTAAAAACCTATATCTGTCTATATTTCTGAGATGAGGTATTATGTACCCTATTTACATTATTCGGACTATTGTCCTCATCTTTATCGCCATATTTATCACAACGTCCTCAAGGACACATGGAACAGTGAATAAAGACGTTGGTTAGATCCAGTGACAGGACCCAAAGTGTGTGAGTTCAATACCCGGTTAAGGCAGTGACAAACTTGCAGAGGGGAATTAACAGGAGATAACTGATAATTGACATCCATTAAACGTGACACGTGGAACTAGAACAGTCTAACCCAGTGAGCGAAATAAAGTGTTCAGTTCGACATTCCAACCACCTGAAGAAGGCCGGAGCGTACGACGGCCGAAACGTTGTAATAAATATGGCGACAAAGATGAGGACAATAGTCCAAATAATGTAAATAGGGTAAAAACCTATAGTTAAAAAAATTCACAACTTAAATGCAATCTAGTATATTTAAAAAAAAATGGATTTTTAGTGCACCTCCTCACAATATTCTCATATGAAAGATAGAGAGAAATAGAAAGATATATATATATATATATATATATATATATATATATATATATATATATATATATATATGTGTGTGTGTGTGAGAGAGAGAGAGAGAGAGAGAGAGAGAGAGAGGGGAGGCCTGAATACTAGGTTTTAATTATCTCCCCCCCCGTAAAGTCGTAACCCTGTGCCTTCTATGTAAATATTTTCAGGATCAATCTGATGGGTTTTCTTCTTTGATAAATTCACGAATTTACGCGTAGTACTAGATTAACAGCTAGTACTTATTATTTTACTATTGAAATTGCTAATAGTTTCTTCTCTTGGACTTTTCGCTTGTGGAACTCTCTTCTTGCCTTCCTGTCAGCTATGATCTTCTTTAAAATTTAAATGTAACGTCAATCGTCATCTTCTGTCCCTTTGAATCCTGTTCTTTTCTTGTCTTCTATCCCCAATTTCTCTCACTCTCAGTAACCTCCTTGCGACTTAGCGGCTTTATCGCCTTGCTTGGAGTGAAACGACTGAAAAATATCGTTTCCATTTGGGGGTCCAAGATAATAAAGAACGATTTACTATTCCATTAGGCCGAGCCACCACCAGCCACTACCAGCCACCGAGCAAATTGTCTCACATGGACTCAGTTACTAGATACTTTTAAAAACAGTCTGATTTCAAAGAGAAACTGGCCTTCATATGATAAAAGATTTGTGAGGGAATGAGTACTTATTTCCGGCGAGAGTCCCTTTCATCTGAGTGCGAGCTTTTCAAAATAACAAAAAAGAATCTTTCTTTGCATCTCCTTTTCAGTAACTGTCATTACTAATACTTTGTATCCCTACTCGGCGAATTCTTCATCAGCTAGAGATGGCAACGGAACCATCTTTCACAGGCAATACGCTGATTTGTAGCAGGCTAATAAGCAACCATATTCATCGCCTCGACAGAAAATCTTTTAAAACTACCTCCAACCACTAGAGCCTTCATGTTAAGCAAAAAGATCACCAGCGACTTAGCTATAGCCACTTCGCTTAAATTTCACGATTTGCAAACATAAATACTCTCGATTCGATTATCGTGTTGCATTGCATGTCGTTTTTGGATTCTAGTGATCTATCGGCAGCTCTTCAGTAGGGAACAATATATATATATATATATATATATATATATATATATATATATATATATATATATATATATATATATATATATATATATTTTCCATTTCTTTTCTTTCTTTATATATATATATATATATATATATATACCAGTCTTCCCAGTTCTTTCTTTCTTTCTTTCTTAATCTTTTTGTTTATCTGTCTGTTTCTATCTATCTATCTATCTATCTATCTATCTATCTATCTATCTATCTATGCCAGTCTTTCCATTTCTTTCTATCTATCATATAGTAGACTAATAATGGGTAAATTAAAAACAAAGTGGAAAAAGCTCCAAAGTAATGCGTTTCAACCCTAGGAGGAATTTCTTCGTGCTAATAATGCTTTTATTGATGGAGTCAGTCACACACACATATACATACATACATACATACATATATACATACATATATATACAGGGTACGATGTGTAAATTGTCGCTATTTTATATTTTTTTAATTTCGCGCATGCGCCATGTTTGTTTTTGATTTTGTCGACTGGACAGTATAATAGGTCAGTTGGGCGACGTCTGTGAGAAAAAAAAAAGAGCACGATGACGCAATTCACTCCGCCAGAAATTTGGAAACGGCATGCTGTACTACTTGGCATTCGCAATACGAACATTTCAGAGTGTTTAGGTGTCAATCATAGGACAGTGCAGAGGACTTAGAAAGAGTTGGATGAGTCTAATGGTGATTACGAAGGTACGGCAGCTCGGAAAAATCACGTTGATCGTTCTGATAAGAAAATAACTCCCGAAATTGTTGGTGAGATCCAGGCCATGATTGACAACAATCCCTGCAAGTCAGTCAGGTCCATAGCCAGAAACATAGAAGTGTCTGAGTTTCTTATCAAGCAGGTAGTGCATGAAGACATTCTCAACAGGACTCCATGCCACACAAGCAGGAGAACCCAGTCATGGGTGTCAGACAATTTCTGTGACCACATTACCCCTTACATCTGGTAACCTAACTCCCCAGACTTCAACCTCCTTGGAACACCAAAGATGAACTGAAGGCAAGGATTATGGCATCATTGATCAACTTAAACAAGGAGACAGCCCAGATGAGATGCAGGAGATTCGGAAGTCGTCTGGGGGTGTGTGGTTTTATTGAATAACTTTACTCTTTAGTATTTCAAGATTTTTTTGGTAATTTTGCTAAATATATCTGTTAAAATGAGATGTCAGTGTTATTTTCATTTATTGAATAATTTAGACGACAATTTATCCATCGCACCCTGTAGGTTGAGTCAACAATTATAATTGATAGCAAACGACTTCATTTTACTTCTTAGTTTGTACGTTCACATATTCCCAGCCACGTCTGCACTTATTTTCCGCATTAGGGTTAGTATTAGATAGCCCAAGAAATCCGCATCATGTTGAAAAAACAGTTCCCGTACCATCACCAAAGTTAAGCAACGTCGAGTCTGGTCAGTAGATGGGTAACCGCTTAGGAATACCAGGTGCTCTAAGCTTAGATGTGCGGGTGGTGTGATGGATAACGGCTCGGAATTGTTAATCGGAGGGCCGAGTTCCAATCCCAGTTGGGTTACTTATATTCCCTTACGGGTAAATACCCCTGGGAAAGGTATGGGTTAGTATTAGATAACCCAAGAAATCACATTGAAACACCGATTCCAGTACGATCATCAAAGTTAAGCAATGTCGTGCCTGGTCAGTACCTCGATGGGTGACAGCTTGCGAATACCGGGTTTCCTCTTTAGGTTTAAATTAGCTAACCCCCGGAAATCCGCATCACGTTAAAAACACCGATTCCCCTACAATCACCGAAGTTAAGCAAAGTCGAACCCTGCCAGTACCTAGATGGGTAACAATCTGTGAATACTAGGTGCTGTTTACTTGGATGCACGCGTGATCTAATGAGTAATGGCTCGGAATTTTTAATCGGAGGGCCGAGTTTCAATTCCAGTTGGGTTCTAATATGTTATTATACTACTTGAACAAAAATATATTGCTCAGTGCTCATAATTAAAGAGTTTTATATCAATCTCTTTCGTTTTATTGTTTAATGCTTTAGATTAATTAATGCTCTTCTGAGAAGATTTAATCGAAAAGCTGGCCGCTTAACAGGAGTTACACAACATTTTTCTTCTTTTTACAGTAAGTTTAGCTTACGACCATATCACGTTGAAACACCGCTTCCCGTACGATCAGCGAAGTTAAGCAACGTCGAGCCTGCTCGGTACTAGAAGGGTGACAGCTTGGAAATAACAGGAGTTGTAAGCTTGGATGTGCAGATGGTGTAATGGATAACGGCTTGGAATTGTTAATCGGATAGCCGAGTTCCAATTCCCGTTGGGTTCGTTATATCCACTCATATGCAAATACCCTTGAGAAAGGCATGAATCCACCTCTTCTCCTCTCGGAAATGGTTAATTAATAAGACTTGTATCACTAAAACCATTATTATTAAAAAAAAATAATTTAAATTTCTGTATTAAATAACTCCTAGAGCAAACCAAGAATCAAGCAAGTAACAGACTAACCAACCGAAAATCCGAATCCAATAAGGCTGTGTTGAATTTTTAATATCCAATTATTCTATGTTTAGTCTTATCTAAGTTTATCCTAAACCTGGACTAGCCTATGGTCCGAATAAACTAGACCATGAAAACTTGGAGAGTACAGGATTTCGAAGTAGACTATCTTAACTTTAATCTCGGTCAAAATAGGGAGAATTTTCATCTTGCCCGAGCTGCTCCTATCTTCACAAATTAATTCTACCCGCCTTGCATGTTTATTTTGAAATTTATAGGCAAGATCGAGAATGCCGATAAATTCGCGAGAAATGTGCATATTCGATGGAATGTTAAGGCCCTTCCTATCTCTGCCGCTGAATAAATCTAGATCAAGCACGGCATTCCACTTATGATCTCGTATTACTTGCCTCGACGACGTCACAAAGTGAGAGATTCACCGAAAAAGAAGTCGGCCGTTTGTCTAGTGTCATTGGTCGCATGATTAATGCGTTTCGCCCAATGAAATGAAAGCTTTTCTTTTAACAGTAGACACAGTCTGCCTGTCACAGGAAGTCAAACGAACACGTCACAGGGGGAAAAAAAAGACGGTTAACCAACCAATAATCTCCTCTCGAAAGATGCTGAGAAATGAGTCCTTTCATCCCAATCAGGGCAATAAAGCCACTAAGATGCAAGGCGCGGTTACCGAGGGTTAGTGAATATGAGAAAAAAAAAAAGCATTATTGAGAGAGAACGAAAAAAATAGCAGTTAAGAGACAGAAGATAACGATTGACATTACATTTAAACTTTTGAAGATCAAAGTTGACTGGAATGCAAGAAGCCTGAAATGAGATGCGCGAAAGAAGAAACTGTTAGCATAGAACTTGCGGTTACATCTAGCCATTTCAACCGTAAAATGATGAGAACTGGCCGACAATCTACTATTATGTTTAAATTCGTAAATTCTAGGTACCCGAGTAGATCGTTCATCATAACAATTACCGCGAAGGTGTTTATAGAAAAGGCACAGGGAATTTACATTACATCAACGAGAAAGTGACTGAAGCTGAGATGCCAAGTTAGGGCCAATAACATTGCAGATTTTTCTTTGGGTTTTATTAAGAATCTCTAAATATATAGCAGGATGTACAGTTTCTCTATGACTTCCTAACTAGTCCACTATATGTCTCCATATGTACAATTATCTGTTAGAGCTGAGGAATAAAAATAAATTTTTACCATTACCGTTAGAGATCAGATCAGATACTATACTTTGATCCCAGCTTGATTGCTAGGGAGCGAAGAAAAGCGTAATTTGAATGGCACTGGTTGCTCGGTCAACAAATACATAGTTTCCATTGTGAAATAAATCAATATATGTGCTTAGACTTTTAAACAAACTGCGCATGAATGAAACCCTTACCAGCTTTCAAACCAGAGAACTGGTCATGGGCTCAACTCTTTTCACCATTTTTCCTCAGTCGAAACGTTGCTAACATCTCGCTACTCTAACGCTGATTTTTAAAGATGTTCAGGCGAGCGAACTACATGACTTCGTTGCACCAATTCAGATTTTCACAGCTAGGACCCGCTACGGTGAATCGACACATTGTTCCCTTCATATTCCATTAGCGAGGAGAAAATTCGACAGCTTCAGCCTTAGAACTGCTACAATATGGAACGGACCTCCGAGAGTTGATTCCTCGATCACTAAAAGGTTGATCTCTTCATGTCGAGGGTCAACCATTATCTATTCTATATGTTCTTATAATTTTTCAACCTTCGCACTCTACCTGCAAGCTTCTCTTACAACGTCCTTAGTAAATTTCTACATTGAAAGGCTTTTGGGTTGAATAGAAATTGCTACTCACCAATTGAAATACGAATTCGATGGAAGATGTGAGAACTCCGTGCACGTGGCATAGCGGGTTTTAGCAGTGAAAGTCTGAACTTGTGGAAACATTCAATGTAGTTCGCCCGAACATCTAACATGATGACAGCGATAGTGTAGCAAAACGATAACAATGCTCCGTCTTTGGGAAATGTAGAATGGTAAAAATTCTTCGCTTCTAAACTGCAGAAGCGCTTTTGAACTCCGCCGAGGCTTTTAAAGAGCGTTTTTTTTTTGTTTTTTTTTTTTTACTGATGAATTTGCGATCGAGATTCTTTAAGCCACGGAAGATAAACTGTTTTATTCTTTACAATTAAGCTCAACTATCGTGTCCACAGCTTGCACGTTAAAGTGATTTACCGTCCGGATGTTAAAAAAAGTCTTCTTTATGATCGTTTTAAGTGCATTCGCCTCACACTGGCATTTCAGGTGCATCGAATCAGGCATTACGATAACATCGTCAACATTACTGACGTGTTACTTTTCGTTTTTGCTAATGACTAGAGCGGCGGTCTCTTTCTCTACGCCAAATTCCTTTGTCACGTCCTGGTGCTGGGTTCGGGTAATGACGCCGAGCCAAAGGAGGGTAGGGAGAAGGCTGTTAGTCCATCATTTCAATCCTCTTCCCTCGTGTTCGTTATGGATGGCCTTAATCACCAAAACCTTAGTATTTTGCTTGTCGTTTTATGACTGTCTACAAGCATAAGTTGACGTGATTTTATGATAAACGGGATCTGCACTGATGCGCCATGAGTTTTTATTATTAGCTGGTTTCAAGTTGCAATGAACTGGGGGTAAATAAGTGCTTATCTATCTATCTATCTATCTATCTATCTATCTATCTATCTATCTATCTATCTATCTAGCTAGCTAGCTAGTGAGTGTGTGTAGATAGATTGAGCTAGCACACATACACACACACACACACACACACACACATATATATATATCGACTCTCCCGTCGAATTCGACGTATGAGGGTCAACCAGATCAGTTCCTAGAAACCGAAAGCCCGACACCAGCATATGAGATTTGATTATAGTGGTGAAGGTTTTGTGGAGAAACATCCTTTTTGAATGGCTGAATACAGAAAATACAAAACCTCCGCAGGTTTTGAATTCATTGTCCTTCTCCTAGACTAGTTGCCGTCCAAGGCTATAGAACCCAGTCTGACTTGCTATTTACCCATAGCTGGGGGGAGAAGAAGAACGTAAGTGAATGTAATGGATTTGACTGGAATTCGAACTCGATTCCCCGAATCCTTAATTTAATGCTAAATGCTATTCATTACCCAGTGTGCGTCCTGATGTGAATGTGTCGATTCACTTCATGGTATATATATATATATATATATATATATATATATATATATATATATATATATATATATATATATATATATATATATATATATATAATAAAACAGATTTCTAGTACTGCCAAATCTAATCAGACATTTGAGGAATAAAAATGTGGGATCATAATAAACATAAGATACAACAATATCCACGTTTTTAACATAAAATGTAAGGCGCCTTTCGACCGACACATTTTCAAACACAATCGTCGGTAATCTAAAACGGAGTACTAACAAGAAATTTTTTTTATTAATACCGTAATAAAACAAGATGGTAAGGGGGGAAAAAAGAAAAAAAATTATTTTACCTCAAATCATGTAAACTGTTCCCCAAATAAGGCCAACTTAAAACTTCATCTCCCGTTGTACGCAGAGGGCCGGCCTACGTATGTTGATAATAACAGACTCCAAGATGTCGAGGTGGAGTCTGTTCCTAGCCCTGTGCAATACCGAAAAGAAATGGGCAGAATACTCAGTCCTGCAAACACCAGAATTTAATAGATTTTCACCGATAGCAGAGGCATGAGTCTGCGAACACCCGGATGTCACAAACTCATGCCTGCGCACGCAGCCCGGGACATGTTGGGCGATTCTAACCTCAAGCCTCTGGATAGTTTTTGCCCACATAGTCGAACCTGCATCGACATTTAAATTGATAAATAACTAAATTTTTTTATGGTAGGTAGGCAAAACATCCTTACGGTAAGGGGGAAGGCCTCCTGATATATATATATATATATATATATATATATATATATATATATATATATATATATATATATATATATATATATATATATATATATATCGGTCTGTTCTAACCTATCTATCTTAGTTTGTTTATATGTATGTATGTATGTATGAATCTGTTCTATCTATTGGTGCTCTCTCAAGTCACTCCTTCGATAGCTTGTCTAAGGGGGTCACTTGAGAGCGTACCGATGGAGGGTAGCAATTGGCTGTAAAGCTGTAGACGCCCAGCAATTGAAATGTGATGTTTGCGGTAAGACATCAGGTCCAGAAGCGGTTTCATGTGACATTTTAAATTACATAATAATGTGCAATCCGCTGTTTCACCTCTCAAGTGCCCTGTTTGTGGCAGATTATGTAAATCCCTTGCTGGACTAAAGAGCCACATTCATCCAGCACATCTGTAGATATTCTGCAAAAGGATATGTAGTAATAGCCGTACTCGAACACGAGTTGGCAACCACTATCTATCTATCTATCTATCTATCTATCTATCTATCTATCTGTCTCAGACCAGATATCTATCTATCTCAGTTCATTGATATCTATCTATCTATCTATCTATCTATCTATCTATCTATCTATCTATCTATCTCAGTTCATTGATATCTATCTATCTATCTATCTATCTATCTATCTATCTATCTATCTATCTCAGTCCATTGATATCTATCTATCTATTCAAAGTATACGTCTGTACAAATATTATGCCCAATTCTTTGATCAATTTTAAGAGCACATATATTAATAACTTAACTTATGGAAACTACTGATATGAATGTCATAATCTTTTTGAAAATTAAATAGTTTTCTTAGAATGAAACTCGGAAACAACATTAAAATCTTCCAATGCAAAACAAAATGGCGTCTATCAGATATACACTCACAGTGTACAGCAGGAAATAACTGGTGTGTCATGCGTTCTTCGTTCTGTAAAAAGTACATCGATAAAGACCCGCTAAATACAATCTATATAGCGAGTAAAAATCTATAGATTGAAGATATTTTAAATTTGACAGTTACGTTTATGCAGATGAAAGATTTTTTCTGGTCTAAAATCAAGCAATGTTTTTTTTTTCTTTTTTTTTTAATAACTTTAAATGAGAGAAGGCAATAAATAAGTGAGTGACATCTACGACGTAAACGAATTTGGGACTAGAAAATATGGAAGATTCAGGGTGTAAATCAAATCCAATGGAATCCTTTTTATAAATAAACAATCTCTCATCATGAATTAAGACTGTATAAGCTTAATACTAAATAAGCTTTAAGAAAGTCGAACTATATAGAAGAAATATCGTTCACAGGCCCATTGCTAATCTAGTTTTATTTAATACCCTATATTAGGTTCACGACCATATAGCGTTGAAACACCGGGTCCCGTACGATCACCGAAGTTAAGCAACGTCAAGCCTGGTCAGTACCTACATTGGTGACCGCTTAGGAATACCAGGTGTTGTAAGCTTGGATGAGCAGGTCGTGTAATGGCTCGAAATTGTTAATAGGATTTCTAATTCCAGGTGTGTGTGTATGTGTGTGTGTGTGTGTGTGGTGGGTTCGTTATATTCACTTACGCGCAAATAAACTTGGGAAACGTATGATTCCACCTCTTCTCTCCCCAACTATGGGTTAATTAGTAAGACTTGTATAACTAAATCATTATTATCGCAAAAAAAAAGAAGTTACAATCTAAAAATATTCTCTGGCTTTAAATAATCTGTAAAAGGTTGATAAGCAGTAAAAAACGGATCAATCCCATATATTTGTGGAGTTGTGACAGACACACGTGTTCTCTTTCTCTTTTCTTTTTCTTACTCATGGATACACACATAGTTACAGATTGTGTGGATATAAGAATAAACACCGGTCAGTTGATTGACAGTTTTAAGCCTCAAAACTGAGGATCGATTGAGGATAAAGAGACAAAAGAAAGAGTAGAGTAGAGTAGAGTAGAGAGAGAGAGAGAGAGAGAGAGAGAGAGAGAGAGAGAGAACGGAGCAGAAAAGTGGGAAATAAAAAGAGAGGGGCATTCGAAATAGGAACGAGAAAGAGGAGATATAAAGAAAAGTGGCGAAGAAAATGTGTGTATGTCTCTCTCTCTCTCTCTGTGCATGTGTGTGTGTGTGCGAAAGAGAGAGAGAGAGAGAGAGAGAGAGAGCGAGCGTAGTAGAAAAGTGGGAAATAAAAGGAGTGAGGCAATCGAAAGAGGAACGAAAAAGAGGAGATATTTAGAAAAGTGACGAAGAAAATGTGTGCGTGTCTGTGTATGTGCGTGTTTCTGTGTGTGTATGAGAGAGAGAGAGAGAGAGAGAGAGAGAGAGAGAGAGAGAGAGAGAGAAAGAAAGAGAGAGAAAGTGTGAAAGAGAAAGAGCATTTGATCCGTCTCTTTATTCTCTGGTGTTGAGTTGTTTGTTCGTTGATCAACACTAATCTAATCCCGTCGCCACAGCCGTCTCTCCATGCCGCCATTTTTTTTCACTCCTGCGGGTTGCAGTTGACACGTCACCTCAATAGAATTATTTATATAAAGAACTCGACAATCGTGTCCCGGTAGAAGTGGGTGCTCGTTGATTGCTAAGGAAGTAAATTCATTCTAGTGAAGTGAAAAGGCCCGCCAATAGGTATAGATTCTTTTTTCCCTTTCCACCCCTTCCTCTATCGCATTAGATTCTTGAAAAGATGTCGCTAATTTGACTGGTATGCTATTGCGACTGATTATACGATAAAGAAAGCGATGAAGGAGACATGCTGGTTGTTAGCGATGTCGGAATTTTTATAGATTGAAAAACACAAATAAATAAATAACCCATAATATGAAAGTAAAAGTAGCCATCATCATTATCCTCATGAAATAGTGAAGTGGTTTTTAACCTTTTCTACTCCGGCGTCATTTTAGATATTTGCCTGTGCTCTTATCCTCTATATTAAAATTACACTGGTAAATGGAGCAGAGTTAATGTGACAGGTTTAAGTCGCTTTATTACAGCACCAATCCCAACAAGTAATGTAATCGCTTGCCCCTCGTATCCGAGTATGCCTGCTTTCTAGGGTGGCTAGACAATCCTTGTTGCAGACGCTTGATTAGGCACACATGTGTTTTTCCAACACACACAGAGCCTACTTGTGGTTTATACTGTAACTATACCGAGTGGTTACACTTACATATATATACACTGCATGCCAAATTATTATCGAGATAACTTATTTCTAATATTTAAAAAAACGTCCAATCAATTCACATAAAATTTTAACACAGCGTTGGCAACATTGACCTGCGAAATCACTGAAATTTTCATACTGATCTGCGCAATATAAACAAACCACCTATCTGGCTCGTCAAGTGTTGCTCGAGTTTCGTCTGTGAACAAAACTTCAGAGAAGTCAATCTTCATATTGTCCTTGGCCCATTTCAATCGATTTTGAATGTGATTTCTCGTCAACGGAGACTTCGATACAGGTTTGACTGTTGTTGCTATTTCCCTCAGATACCAACACCGAGTACTTTTAGACACAGTAGGATCCCCAATGCGACTGAAAAGCTCTTGACTGGTAAGTCCAGGGTTCTTCGTGGCCTCTCGTTTAAGTCGTGACATGAGACGACGTGAAATAACCCTCGGCTTGCCTTTATCTGCCCTTTTGCGTACATGTGTAGGGTCAGCGGTGAACTTTTTCACTGTTTGATGATACCACCCTATCATTTTAGAAATTTCTAGGGTAGATTTACCTTTTGAGATTTCTGAGGTGATAGTTTTCTTTTCAGCATCACTTAAACTGCTTTTACGGCCTATCTTTTCACTAAATTCTTACACTTTTCTAATAATTTGGCACGCTCAAATCATCGTGCTGATAACAAATATGGCGCCAATTTGTTTACATTGCGCAGATCAGTACGAAAATTTCAGTGACTGCGCAGGTCAGTGTTGCATCAATATATATATATATATGAATGAAGAAATATTGTTTTAAGATGTGCTATATTTATGGGATAAAGTGTTCAATATCAGAGATAGAGCGAATGTAAATATATATATAAAAGTGAACATTGAAGTCAGAAAATCAGAGGCGACAGGCTGTTTCCTGCAAGACGCAATCGTCAGGCCGCCTGACGATTTCGTCTAACATGAAACAGCCTGTCGCATCTGAGTGTTGACTTCAATGTTCACTTTATATATATATATATATATATATATATATATATATATATATATATGTGTGTGTGTGTGTGTGTGTGTGTGTATGTGGGTGTATATATATATATATATATATATATATATATATATAGGTAGATAGAGAGATAGAGAGATAGAAAGAGAGAGAGAGAGAGAAGAGAGAGAGGGAGAAAAATAAAATTCAGAAAAAACACCTAATGTTTATGTGTTTATATGTAATATTTATAATACCCGTATGTTTACAGAGAATTATTAAAATTAAAATTGTTTTACTTACATGTGGGTTTTCAGAAGAAAATCGTTTTGCTTTTTAAATCTTTGTAAATGATACTATTTCCACGTGTTGACGCTTATGCCTTAAATAAAATAATCAAAGAGCGTAACTGGTTTTATATGTCGCTTATGGTAAGGAAAATACGATAGAATCTATTTTGAGGGACGTGTCTGTTGTTTATGTAATGAATTGAGTTTTGGTTTAAATTTGCTGATAAAAAAATGTTTATTAATGCGTTTTTGTTCACTGATTTTGTAGTCGAATTGGTAGAATAGAAAGATATTAAAGTTTGTCAAATGTTGTCCTCCGCATTCCTCGATATGTAGGCTAAGGGGTATTTTTTCTCGTGTGTGGATCCCAAATGGCGATGAACTGTCATCATTTGGCGGAGTCTCTGGTCGGTTTGGCCAACTTAATGTTTGTGGCAACCTTTGCATGTTATTATATTATATTAAATTCTCTGAGTTGCACGAGAAACTATTTTTAATTTTGAATTTGGATTCGTCTTTGAAGTGAAATTCGTGGCCTTCAAATAGGTAACTTCATATTCCGCAGGGGGGTCAGTTATATCTGTTCATCTGAGGCTCTTTAATTGTGGTCTGGAGTTTTGCACTCATCTGTATTTTTTTTTAGTGATTAGGGTTGCCGCTTACTTTTTATGATTCGGTATTTTTGCAATACGTTTTTCATTTGTTTATTCTTTAGTAGGAGTTGAGTGGGATGTTCGTACGAGTGTGCTTCGGTTGGGAAGCCGTAAAAAGGAGTCAGTAGGTTTAAAATATATGTAGGTTTCTTGTTTCGGGGTTCTTTTTGTTATTAATATGTCTAAAAAGGAAGTTTTGTTGCTGTACCCCGTACTAAATTAGATGCTAGGATTTATATTATTAATGGATGCTTGAAAATAGTTTTTAAAGGTTTTCATTCCACAGAATGAAACTGTCATCTCGATATCTTTTCCAATTTTCTTTTATCCAGTATCTGATGTCATTCCCATAGAATTCTGAGCTTCTTTCATAGATTTTTAGTCCATGGTATCCCATGACTAGGTTAGCATATGTTGGTACAACCTTTGTCCCCATGGCTATTCCTGATTTTTATCGGTAGAGTGTTTCATTGAATATGACTGTTTTAAAAATGAATTTCATTGCTTTCTATGATTAAATTTGCATTGATGCGGTCTGCTAGCTCACGAGAGAGTTTATAGCCAGTATTTAATGACCTCTATACTGTAGTCACGTGGGATGTTGCTATACAGGTTCACAACATCCATTGAGGCAATGTGAGTATTATGGTATACCTCTGTTGGTAGATAGTTGAGAAAACCCATATCATCTCGAATGAAGCTCCAAACGCGTTAGATCAGAGGCTTCAATAGGATGACTAGGAAATTCCTTAGGCTGTGAGTCTTGAAAATTGGGCCTGCTATTGCCGGCCTTAGTTTTAGTTCAGTTGGTGCGGGTATTTTGTTATATTGCATGTATCGTTGCTGAGTTTATTTTTGTGTACTTTAGGTAGCCCACAAAGATTTCTTGTTTTATAGCTAAAGTTGATAAGATAGTCACGTTCCTTAGAAGTTATAGAGCCTCGGTATGGATTAAGTGGGTTCTTTCATTACTTTATGAGTTTAGTATTATCTGGCTTCTTCATAGTAGGTGGTGTCTTGTAACGTATTCATAATAATGTTTGTGTATTGTTTTGCATCAATAATAACAACTGTTCCTACTTTATCAGCTTTTATAACAATATATTTGTCCAACTTTAAGTCGTTTAGTTGGTTCCATTGTTCTCTGGTGAAGTTAGACATTCCCACTTTGTCAAATGGCAAGCTAAATATGGAATTACAGAATTCATCATGGGCTGTATTTTTGCCTTTTAGGGGTTCATAATATTTTTTGTTTCTTACTAGTGATTTACCATTGTTTTCTTCTGCAAAGAATAGTTCTATTAGTCTTAGACGTCTACAGAATTCCGAAACAGGATCTTTAATTTCTGCTACATTTAGTTTTTGGGGTGTTGGATT